GTAGTCTCTAGCTATACACATGGAATCTTAAAAAATTATATTGACCCCTTTAATCTTTGGTTACACTTTCCTTTTGGGTGTTTAAGACCCTACAGTTGGCCCAGATAAGCCTATTTTTACTCTTAAGGTCGTTTGAGGATTTGTTCCTCAGGGGTAACATGGGCTTGGGAGGAGCCCCTGGCTCCTTTCTTTTACCAGTTCCGCCTATGTGAAGATAAGTCAAAGGTCCTGCTCGACCATGCTTGGCTTCACTTGGGAGCATGGAGGAAATGATTCCTCTGTGTTGACGCTCCTCTTTGTAAACTGGACATTGGTTCAAGTACATCTAGTGGGGTCTCCTCGGCTGCCTTGATCAAAAGGACAGGTGAATCACCACAATTACAGGACATTTTGGGAGATGTTTATAGTCCCCTGGAACTAGTCGACCTATGAGGGCAAGGAGCAAAAACTGTCCTTTGTGTCCCTCTGACCAAATTATTATAGGCTTCAAAGTATGTCTGTTAAACACCCAAGAAGTTTAGTTCCACCAGTCTGGTACTTTTAATTACTGTGTGTCATGTAGATAAATCTTGGACAAAGACCAATTGATCTCAGATTAACTTTACCTTGATCTGCTATGTACAATTTGTAAGTAGGTTATAGGAGTAATATGGTTCCTTCTGATTTTCAAAACTATCTAGGCATTATTTATCTCTCACATTGTCTCACCCCTCCATCATGGTTTTCCTACCGAAGTTGCCCCCATTTCCTCCCTTTCTCCCTTACTAATACCCTTTTCATACAGTCCTACCTCTTTTGAGCTCCTTCTTTCCTTTTATCTCCTAGGTTCCTTGTATACCCTACCCTCCTCCCTCCCTTAAACTAACCCAATTTTTGTCCATATCTCCCTTATTAAGGCCTGTTTCCTACTGTTCTTCTCTTTCAGGTTATTTCTTTTCCTTTACCTCCATGTTTCCTTTCCATTAACCTGGTTAATGTACTTATGTCTGGTTGCATACTTATTTATCAGAGTCTGGTTCTAGACTATGAGAACATATGTCAATTTTTTTTCTGAGTCTGTGTTAATTCACTTAGTATGACAGTTTCTAGTTATATCCATTTACCTGCAAATTTCATGACTTCATCTTTCTTTACTGCTGAGTAAAACTCCATTGTATAAATGAAACACATTTTCAGTATCCATTCATCAATTGAGGGACACTTAGGCTGCTTCCATCTCTTAGCTATTGTGAAAAGAGCAGCAACAAACATGGATGTACAAGTGTCTCAAAATATAACTGGGTCAAATGGTAGGTTCATTTGTAGTTTTTTAAGAGTTCTCCACAGTGCTTTCCATAGGTGTTGAACAAGTTTGCAACCCCGCCAGCAGCTGATGAGTGTTCCCCTTTCCCCACATCCTCTCCAACATTTGGTATCATTTGTTCTCTTAATCTTAGCCAGTCTGACTGGGGTAAGATGAAATATTAAAGTGGTTTTAATTTGCATTTCCCTAATTATTAGTGATGTTGAACATCTTTTAAGATGTTTCATAGCCATCTTTACTTCGTCTTTTGAGA